AAACCAGATCGAATACGGCATATGTATTGAATCTGAAACGCCTTATAGGAGTGAATCTACATACAAATATTAAGATAATTGACTCGTTCGTATACCCTATTGACGTAAAAGGTCGCAACAAGATGACAGTACAAAACAAGATGTGAAACAGTCACACCAACAGTGAAAGACTGGAAGATAAAGAAAAGGATTAATATTTACATGGTACATTTTGATGTTGGAAATAAATATTCTTCTGAAATGCACTGGTCATGCAGCTTAGAACGATATTTATAACTGACACGTAATGTACATGGACAATATTATTTCAACTTGGAAATATTACAAATGCAACTCTAAGTCTAACCTTCCAGGATTTGCAAACTCTTCATAACTAGCACATGGACCTGGGAAAGCCTTAGCAAACTCTAGCTTGTCCAAAAGCTCATCAACAAAGAAAGAAGAAATGAACAGTTTCCTCTGATTCAAAGCCATGAAGTTCTGCCTCACCGCATCATCTAGAAACTTGATTAGGTTATTGAAATAACCGTCAATGTTTAAGAGACCAATAGGTCTGCTGTGCAACCCTTCAGATGCCCATGAGATTAAGATGAACAAACCTTCGATAGTGTCAATCCCTCCAGGAAGTACAATGAAGGCTTCCACAATATGATTCATCTCGAAATACTTATAGTAATTGCTGAAGACGGTGTACTCCGCACCATATGTTGGTCCAGAGACCCCTCGTGTTGCTATATACCCTGGTATGAAACCTCTAACTCTACCACCATTATTATAGACCGTTGAAGCTACAGCTCCTTGAAGGCCAATGTTGCCTCCTCCGTAGGTAAGCCTGATTTTTCGCCTTACCAATTCACGTCCTAGATCAACCGTTGTAGCCATGAACCTTGGATTGCTACCAAGAGCATGACTACCAAGTAGACCAACGAATCTTATGGTATAACGAAGAGCTCGAGAAGTTCCTTCCATAATGTGTGTGTGAGACGCTCTTGCCACAATTCGATATATATAGACTCTGAAACTGGACCATTGATGGAAAAGTATTTATCACCAGCCCAAAAATGTAGTACAGGAAAGTGGATTCATTCCAGACAAGAATGTACTCGCCAATACTACAGTTTGCTGACGACATGACATATTGAGACTCATGAATAGTTAGGCTCATTGCCCTGAAATACGTTCAAATCCGAGACAAAGAGTCAAAATCACTATTTACCTAAGACAATGACCCCTTGAGTAACTTCGAAACAGTGAAACATTAAAAGATGAAAACCTACTATTTGCCACAATAATTCGCAAACGCTATATTCGTATCATGTGACCTATATCCTTAAAATAGTAAAACTTGTTGTGTTAATTATACACTTAAAACATCTCACTTGATCAAACTTTAAAAAAAAATTGAATTCCATAATTTTTTTTAAAAATCATTGAGAACTTGTTGTAACTCATGACTCTCCCTCAAACCCAAGAAGATGTTTTATGATACCGATCTTGAAAAACCATACTCTGTAACGATTGATGTGACTACGTTATCTATGAAAATTATTATCAATGATGATCAAGCAACTTTGCTTTAACCCTAATAAAGGAACATATGTGCAACAAGTAGAAAGGAAAAGTTGTCATTTGTGTGGTGAATATGACCACACTGAAGGTAAATGTGATCTCCACTTAAGTCAATTGGGCGGACCACCAAGAGAAACCACGCATGTGTCTATAGAATCCCAAACATATTAGAATATGACTATGTGTATAATTTGTCATGTTTTTAGTAATAAGTAATCTAACTATCGTGTGATGAATATTAGTGATATGACGAATACACTAATATTATAATTTTCGAGCACGAAACTCTATCATAATTATTGAGAAAGTTGGAAATTCCAAGGCAATTCTGGAATTATCAATAAGAAAATCAGTATTCAAGAATGACTACATATCATATTGATAACACAAACGGTGACAAAATAACAAGAGTTATCCAATACGTTCATCCAATCATTACAATGTGATAAAAACATATATTATTGTTGTGCATAAGTGTGATATGCATGTTTACGGTTATAGGCATCCATAAGCCATGTGAAATCAGATTGTTGACATTACATTAGTCAGAATAACTCCATTAAGGATCGCTAATGAAAGTTCAAGTTTTGAAACTATAATTACATATTCATCTAAGAAACCTAGAATGATGACTATGGTAATAGTCATTTTCCAAAATACCCTTATGTAACAACATCAAACCTAGAAACAATTCATTCCAGATTGTACACAATGAAGCGTAATTTGTGAAACCAACATTCCAGACAAACTCTGAGAATGATTCTCAAAGAATTTTCAGAAACGGAAATTTTGTAAATTACTCCACATTCACGAAACGCAACCCATATAAGAATTCCTGAAACTCCTACAACACAAAAGAGCAAGTCTAAAGATATATATTTGACGCAAGTCTCCGTGAGAGAAATCCAAATATGTTACATTTATCATCCACGTATATTCTTTCTCAAAAGAGAAAATGTCATACTCATGACACTCAACAAAAGAAAGAGAAAACAACTTTTCAAAATTTGTGTTTAAAAAAAAAAAATATTAATGAATATTCATGATTTTGTACATCATCATTTTAATTGACTTCGGGGACGAAATTTCTTTAAGGGGACGAAATTTCTTTAAGGGGGAAAGAAATGTAACGCCACAAAATATGGCCAAAAATTTATTATAAAACAAAAGTAGTTTTTATCCAATAAGGAATATTTGTACGTTTGACTAAAAATAAATGGATTTTCAAAATAATGACTTTTTGTTAAAAAGTTATATTTATGGATATGTCTCAAAGAGACGAATCCAACGGTACATTTTATAAACCAATCTGATTTGTAGATTTCAAGTTATGTCAATTTTAAATAGTAAAATTTGTAACTTTGACCCATAAAATAAACTAAATTCAAAAGTGATTTCATCAGATTGGAAATCATAATTTTGACACTTGACAATATCATATTTATCATTTGGATTTAATTCGTATATTTTTATCTCATTCATATTATTATATTAAATTATAACTGAGACAGACCCGGACACTGAGAAAAATAAAAGTTCTCAGAAAAATATTTTGATTACGTCAAAATTCTAGTTTTGACCGTCTGATTCCAAAAATACAATTTGTTTTCAATTCGGAACAGTTTGGGCGAAAAAGCGCGTACCGTTTTAGTCCGTTTATCAGTTACGGAGTAAGAAAATAAATTTGATTCCCCAAAATCCTCCAAGTCACGTAGAGACACTCCCATCCCTTCCAATCCTCAATCAAACCAACCCCACTACCATATACCTCCAATTCCTTTTCCCTATAATATCACCCTACCACTACCATCATCATCATAATCTTCACCATCATCCACCATCATCAACATTCATCTTCTCCTCTCCATCTCTCCCTCTCTCTGTCGGCAGCAACAAGAAGAAGAAATGAAAACTCCAACTACATGGTAGTATGTTAAGGAAGAAGAAGAAGGAGCAAGAAAACCATCCAAACTTTCCAAATTTTGAGTCCAAAAACGCAGCAGCAACTTCAAGGTAAAAACTGAAATTTTCCATCCATTATCTCGAAATACTTCTTGAACCAAAGTTGTAGCCCCGGGCGTTACGAATCCAACCCAACAAACGGCTCGCGATTTCAATAAGTAAAGAAGAAGATATGGCCAAAATACCGGGACTGCGCCAGTGGTGGCGAGCTCCTCGGGTTGGCATGTTTTTCTTCACCAAAATTCATATTATTTCAACCCAAATACTTATCATAAACTCTCTAACAATTATTAGGAACATCCGGAAGGTATTCCAAAGAAAGTTCGGCGTTGGAATGTTGAAGTTAGTGAGTTAATCGTCGGAATCATGTTCATCGACATACCCGAAATTCTGGACAGCAACTTTCTAGTGACTTCAGGTCCGATTTACACTATTTTACATATGTTAAAACGAAATACTTTCTATACGAAAGTTATAGCCTTACGTCTTAGGAATCCACAAAATCAAACGGTTTGCGATTCCGTGAAGATACGATGGAGATATGCTCAAAATACCGCAGGCTGTCCAATTGTGACGGGAATGACAAAGTTGGTGAATTTCGATATTGTTTTCACTCCCGCTCAACCGTAAGGTTTCGGCCGATGATTTCCAAGTCTGTACCTTTGCGTTAGACTTATCGAATCATTCATTACATACATACATGAACATATATGTTGTTTCATATGTTAAAACCATTCCAAAATATATATGTGATGTATATATAAGTTATCTATATGTTGAGATCAAAATACACCAAATCCATAAAGTTAATATACACATAATTAAATTTAAACTTTGGAAATCAACCCAACAATATGTATATGTTAATCAAAGGTGCTTAAAAGACTTAAAGAAGTATTTTGGACACTCAAAATATCAAGAGAAAGGTTTGCAGACCCAAACGGTCGATGCAAATGGTCGACCGTCGTGTTAAAAATCGAAACGGAACAAGACTGTCAGACCAACGGTCGACCGTCGGTGGCCAACGTTCGACCGTCGCCTGTCCAGCCAAGTGCCGCCATCCACCTCTAGTCAACAACGGTCGACCGCCGGTCAACCGCGGTCGACCGTCACGGTGAATCTCCAATCCGACCTGATGAAGATCAAGGTCGACCGTCGCACCAAACGGTCGACCGTTCCGAGCCCCGTAGCTTAATTAAATGATATTTTAATCATGTTTCATCCAAATAAACTAATGCATGATTATATATTCATATTGTTTACAAATTGTTCATGTCATATCATTCATTTCATCACACATATTGTAGCATATCAAATCATATGCATGCGTAAGAGATCATGCGTAATTGCGTCTCTTATAGCGTGATGTGCGGGACTTACTAGTCCGACATCACCCGTTCCGGGCTTAGTGTACGTACATGGTATTCAGGTTTCAAGTACCAACCATATTTTTCTAGTCTCACCTCATTCGTGAGACTAAGGCCGTGTGAGTTCGTCGTACCAAATGGGCGAATCTCATAGCGCAAGTGTGTCCTTGCTCGTTAGAATCATGCATCATGTTATCATCATCAAGTACATTGATTATATAGGTGTCATGTAATCATCATCAAGAACAATTATATTGATTACATAGGTGTCATGTAATCATCATCAGGAATAATTATACTGATTAAATATGCCATCAGGTAATCATCATCAAATGTCCACCATCATAAATCATCAAATTGAACATACGATATAATGTGCCATATCATGAATATTATTATACATTTTGTGGACGTATATATGTATATGTATATGTCTATGAATTGTTCTACAATTCTAGCGTGGTACCACTCAGCGGTTTCGCTGAGCGTGTAGTTTGTATTTTTCGTTGACTACACGTAGGTAACAAGAAGACAATGATGGAATCATTTCTGGAGGGCATTGAGTTAGAGGAGATGCAACGATGGCAGGCAAATGTTTGATCATCAGATTTTAAAATGTGTCATGATTTGATTATTATTCTACTTCCGCATTACTCTGAAAATATTTTTAAATGGGTCGCGATCCAGAGTATGTAAATTTAATATTTATAAGTAATTGTCATTTTCGAATGTCAAGCAAAATTTTTATTTAACTCTCATTTCACTTTAATTCGTGTAATTCCGGGTTATACGGATTGGGGTGTTACATTAACAGTAATGAGAACTATCACGAAGGTGAACGAAGGAATGTTTCAAATACGAGATCGATAATGACTGTACAACGAGTAGTACCTCCTCATAATGTATGATAAATCCCATATATTGAAAATCTTGGACCACGAAAAGCCATTTGATGTTACTTACAAATGAGTTCTGAACTATATGAATAATGTGAAGATGTCTTGAATGACTTGGATGATTTCGCTAAAACGTATGGATTGAAACAACCTCGGAATCTCCCACTACATCTATTGTGATTCAAAACTACAAATGCTGCTAAGGGACATTCAATCAAAGAAAGAATGTTGTTGACTAATGACATACAATCGAAATTTGTGAATGAACGAAATGATGTACAAATATGTCAAGTATGCTCCAAAATACGATGTTATACCTTGCAAAGGAACTTAGGTTATGGTTGTTGAATCTGAGCAGGAACCTACGAAATGGATTGTTGGATGCCTTGCCTATTAATCTCTTGAAGAAAGAACGAGTTTGATAACATCGACAGTTTGAGAATACGTATCCGTTTGGATAATGACGTAATTATGGTTTAACCAAATGAACATGACACGGTCATGATAAAGTGAGATCACTACGAAATGTTAAACGTTGACCCTTAGAAGAATTTCGAGGACGAAATTCCTTTAAGGGGGG